TCAGTTGTATGTTAGTTAGGTGGCACAATTTTGAAACGGGTTGTGTCCAACCGATATGTACTGCGGAACACCAGACCGCCCCAATGCAACGCGAATAGAAGTTCTACTTATTCTATGCGGTGACGAAAATACTTCTGCGAATTGCAAAAGGCAGTTGCAGCAGCAATGAAAATTCAGAATGCAAAAATTTTACTTCAATGGCGGCCAGGTAGGGAAAATTGGGCGGCAATGGGTGGTCAGATGGGGACTGAGTGTAAGTTGGCATGTTGGTCCTTGCATGCTGTATCCTGGCTTGCAATTTCCCTCCTCCTCTTCACTTGTTGCATGCGCACTGCAGTGTTGATAGTGTTTGTAGTGTCGGCGCACAGGCGAGTGGGGCTGTGTGTTCGTTGTGCAAGTTAAACGAATGAATGCTGGTTGCCGAGCCGAATTGCTGTTGCGTTCGCCGCTGAAGTGGGTATACCTACAAAGGATGCGAGGCACTTGTGCCGGAGTATGTACGTATGTGCATGTACACATTCATATGCATTTAACATGAAAGCCATAATAAAATGTTTTGGCTGCCTTTTTCAAAGAGGTATTTAAAAATTTTAAAAATTACTCAAAAGTGTTTAATTAACGAACTACTTAAATATCTATGTTTTTTTTTTATAAAAAACACAAATTTCTTAACATAAAGATTTATAAAATTTTAATTTTTTTCCATAATTTTTTTTGTTAATTTCAAAGAAAACAGCTGAATGGTTAAAAATCCGATTTCAAATCGATTGCTACATTTATGAATATAGACTACATTTTGACTGGTGCAAAATATTTTTTTCCAGCCACCTACAAGAACTAAAGAATATCAAAACTAAGGCAATCCTATAACCGTGCCTCCGCGCGTAAGGATAAATATCTTTTCTTAGAATTGCTATAAAATCATAAGGTTAAAATTTTTGATCGCATATAAATATTTTGCTTTAGAAATCTACTGAAAATAAAATTATGATTCATATTTAATCTTAAAATTTTACCAGCTACTGTCTTATATTAATAACGGCTTTAAACTTAATACAAATTTTTTAAAAAATTTTAATATTTTCATTCGACTAAAAAATATTTATTTTTAAAGATTTTATAACAATTCACAGCCTCGGCGTCATGTTCAATATTAACCGATTTTAAATAGGTCTGCTTATTTTCCATTTTCTATAATTCTGGGAGAAAATTCCAAAACGTAGATGCACCTGCATATACAGCAACTCCAGGCTGAAATGTATGAAAAGTATCTTCACTCAACGAAATGGAAATGCTGCCCAAAAAGAAATACCATGGCATTACAGGCATCATGGCGAAACGTATAACGGAGGCTATAGGGACCTCCTGTGATACCTTAATGTCTCGAAAATCCTGCCAACAAAACAAAAACAACGGTTGGAATGAGCGAATAGAAGCACTAAGCAAAGACTACCTCAAAGAGAAGAGATAGTACCAGCGTTCGAAGAGGGTCAACTTTATAGAATGTCTGATAGAATGATGAAAGAAAGCAAAAAAGATTTTTTTTTTGAACTTTTCCACGATTCAAGAAACTACAAAACTAGAAGAACTCCCGTATCCGCCATCAGCATAGATAAGCGAGATACATATAACGGATCTGTTACGGCCATAGAAATCCTTCTAGTTTTGGGGAACCTAGATGACAAAGAGGCTTTTGGGCCAAATGGAGTTCCAATAAAGGTGCTTCTTTGTGTCATTATTTAATGCCTGTTTGATGGAAGACACGTTCCCATTAATATGGTAGCAGTAAAAGCTGGTACCACTATCACCCAAACATGACGCCGTATCTACAGCAACACAGATAGCAATTAAGGTGATAAGCGGATTCCGATGGCTAATTAAAAAATGTATTCAACAACGCAAACTAGGAAAAAATTCTCCATATCCTAAGGCAAATCAGAGCATCTGAGTACTTGCACAGTCTGATCCGCAGTTGCTTGAATAACCGGGTATGTACGATAGGTACTATGAGCTTTGTTGTGAAATATGTAATGAAATATGATGTACGATGCTGTACTTCGAGTAAAGTCAATAATTCGGTGACGGCAGTCCAAACCTAGGTAACAAAACAGAGGCGGCACTTAAAGTTAGATGAGATAATCTTTAAAGATCGGCGCCTACAACATCTCCCCTAAACATCTCGGCATCATGATTAACAAAAGGCTGACCTTCAAAGTGTATCTCGAATACGTAAAGGAAAAAGCAGTCGAACCTATAACAGCGTTCTCCAGATTAATGCTAAACACACGATGTCCCAAACAAAAGGAAGGCAATTATTGACAGGAATAGTCAAAAGCCAGCTAACCAGTGTAGTATAACTTAAACAGTGTTTGATTCAAAATCGTAAGTTTCTTGTTATTAAAATTAATTCTAAAAAAGTTGGGTCAAAATTGACCCCCGCCCGTTTTTCAAGGCATGTCAATTTTCCAAGCTCGCTAGTGATAGTCGGCACATTTTGATATCGAGCTTTTTTACTAAAATAAGAAAATAAAAATGAAAATTAAAATTGTTTTTAAATCAATAAACAACTTATTTATTTTTTTCAAGGTATGTCGATTTTTCAGTCTTGCTATGTTAAAAAAAAAACTAATCTACCGGGCCCAGAAACGTTTTTGGATACATTATATTGCTGATTACATTTTAAACAGTAATAGAATCTAGAACTCACAAGAAATACATTACATTACCTATCACGCATGTAATGCATTACTATTTTTCCCACTGAGCATGTCTGCATGAAAGTGTGTGTGAATGTGTTTGTTTATACTTCAACCGCAAGATCAACAACCGCAAGCAAAGCGGATACGCTTGCTCTCAGCAATGCAATTCGCTACTTTATAGAGAGCTATAGAATTTCGTTGTCTACTTTTAGGCTAATGTTGAAATTATACAACACATAAGAAAATTTTGCTGCCAGATGTGTCATTTTTTTCCAAAAACTAAAAAATTTAATAAAATTAAAAATAAAAAAAAATTAAATTAAGGAAATAATTTCGACTTTTTATATAAAATTGCCAATAAATATGTTAAAAATTTCCAATGAAATATGTATGCGAATAGTTACATACAAATGCAAGCAACTCTGCGCATTTGCAAAAACAATAGTCTTGTTTTTCTTTTGGCACAAACAAATGTGTGGCATACGACACACATCTCTTTTCGATTAAAATGTCTTAACATTTTATTTATATACCTACGTTAAATTATTCAAAATCTACTCACTTAGTTTTATCTTTTTATGGTTCACTCAGTTTTTATAGCAATGCATTTTGAATTTTATCTGAATTTTATTATATGTGTACGTTTTATTAATTTTCTTACACTTACCTTTAAAGATGGGCGATGCTGTCCATGTATGCGCTGCACTTTGCCCCAAAAATTGTCCAACCGATATCTCCAATAGAATGATGGGCAAACCGACTAGAAATAATAGCGTTATATATGGTATTAAATACGACGAGCCGTATCTATCCAATTCTCTGGGAAAACGGACTATATTAGCGTAGGTGACATTCAAGCAGATGCACAGCACAAGCCCACGAAATATCGAACATTTTGTCTGGAAAAAAGTAGGAAAAAGTGTGTTTATTAGTTTATGTTTTTCTTTTTTAGTAATAATTTATTGGTAATAAAAGATGAAAATGGTGGCATTTATTACTATTTCTTTATGTATGTAAGTCAGAATGTAAATAAATAATCTGAAAAAAGTAGGATAAGCATAAAAAGAACAAACAAAAATTAAAAATAAAATTAAATAAAATCTTTCAAGACTCTACTCTCACCAAAAATAATGCATATCTTGAAAACTCGAATCTTCGCCAAACTATTTACTTATTTATGTATATACTACACATTAGGATGTTCCGGAAAAAAAGTTCGCCGTACAGCCCTGAGTCGAAAGTATCTCTGCAGGACAAATGTGTGTTCGAACGTTTTTTACGTAGAATACGTCTTTAGTTTCGGTGTGAATGCCATGCTCAGTTGTAATTTTTAAAATTTTGCAACAATGCATACTCAGCGTAAAATAACAAAGCAATTAAAAAATAAAATGCCAATTTTACCGACAGATTCATTTTTGTAAGTGATCTGTTCGTTATCTGCCGCAGCCACAATGGTAAATACTGGCTTGTTTTGGGGTAAATTTGGAGACTTCAAAGAGCTTTAGCCACTTTGATTGTACAGATTTAACTTTCGCTTGCGGTATATAAGTTCTATATAGTAAAAGAAATATTGCAGTATACAAGTTTAAGCTGAATTTGCCAAAAATATAAGCATGTTAAGTCCAAACATTTTTAAAAGAATTAGCTTATTTTTTTATTTAAACAATGCTCGAGAACCGCTTCAACGATTTTGATCTTTTTTTCTTTTCAATCAAAAATACAAGTTATTTCCTTTCTCCTCAACCAACCTCATCCTAATTTACTTCACCTCACCTCAGCTCAACTCACCTGCACTCAACTCAACTCACCTAACCTCAACTAAACTCACCACACTACACCTTGCTTCACCTCAGCTCAACTCAACTCAACTCAATCCACCTCAACTCAACCCACCTCACCTTGCCTCAGCTCAACTCTACTCACACACCTCAAGCCAGCTAAACTCACCTCAATTCATCTCAATTCACCTCACATAAACTCACTTCAGCTCACCTTAACTATCCGCAATTCACCTCAACTCATCTCACCTCATTTTATCTCAATTCGCCTGACCTCACCTGACCTTAACTCACCTTATCTCACCACCCTGCTCAGTTACTACCACCCTGATGTCAGTAAATTAAAGCACGCCAAAAATTACATTGGATCACAAATTTGTGTTTTTTTTTTGTTCCACGGATGCCCCTATCTAATTCATATGTATAATTTCCAGCTGATTGGAAAATCAAGTAATTTTTTTCTATGGATAAATTTTCGAGATATTTTCAATTCACCGTTGGTCAACTAAAACAGTGGTTCCCCGTAATCATATATATCTTATGAAGTAATGGAATGATCTTAATACCAAGTATGGCAAATGAAAGCTAACGATATCCTCCATAAACCGTGCATACATCACTTTTCGATAGGTTTGATAGTTTCTGAGAAATTAATGAATCATTCCAGATTTTTTACTTTTTTTATGAAAAAAACATTAACGGGAAAAAGCAGGAGTCATTTGTTTGTTGCAGCATTCATTGAACTCAAGTACTAGTTCTAGTTCTTACTCTCCAGATTCCAGTTCTTATCACCCTAACGTGTTACCCTAACGTCAGAAAATTAAAGGCCCCCAAAAATTGTTTATTGAAGCTTATGAGGTATTTTGGTTTTTCCCGTGGAACTATTTAAAAATAAAAATAAAAATATTACCGAATGCAGATGTCATCAAAAAATGTAAAAAGAGCACCTCTAGGTTCGGCGAACAATTTTTATTTTGTTTTTGTTTTTTTAATTACCGTGCAAAAATACTTTTCGCTTTAAGAACTTTTTTGTTTGCCTGTAGGGTGGTACGGCCTAATATAAATATTTGTTACTACTCGGTGATTTCTGCAGTATGTATGTCACATTATGCGCTGACAGCTACTTACATACTCGTATCCAAATGCAGCCATAGCAACGCCCTCAATAAGTAGTTAACACCAATCTTAAGTAACTTCGACGGCAAGTACTAAACGCACAACCATTTCATATCTACATATACATACATACGTATGTATGTATGTAGGTGCAAATATTAGCTTAAGGAGAAATTGAAAGTTTTGCGGTTATACACCGCATTGATGCTGAACGTTATTAAGATAACCCACAACCGGAAGAAGTGAAGCGAAGGGACAAAATAATGTTAAATAAATAAACAAAGCAAGGAGAATGTTAAAGAAAGCATACATATGTATGTATGTACATATGTAAGTATAAAGAAAAATTTCGAAAATTTGCAACTAAGTAAGTAGCACCAACATCACAGTGACAACGCATTTACTTAAGTAAAGCAGCGTGCCTGCTACAGCAACAAAGAAAGTTACAGTGAAAGACGCTACAAAAATAATTAAGAGAATGCGAGTATTCATCAACGCTAGTGTGAAAACACTTTCACAACCACTTAAGTAAGTAAGTAGCACCTATCATCTTTAAGCCGCTCGCTAAGCGTGTTGACAAGAATTCGAAAGCAACAATCACACTTTGGTGATTTTAGAAATACTTAACGAAACAAATTAAAGGCGATGAGTAGCAGAATTATTTCGCGCGTCCACTTAAGTGTTTAAAATTGCACTTAAGTAAAGCTTGTTTGAGCAGCCAAGTTAGAATCGGCTTACGAAATTCGCAATAAACTGAAAAGAGAAGCGATAAAAATAACAAAACATGTACGTGTGTAGTATGTATGTATGTATGTATGTAGAAAAACTGCTAAGCCACCAGTATGCAAAATGGCAAATTAGCAAATTTTTGTGCAAAAATCAATTAACAACGTAGAATTATAACGACGGCATATATTTAGAAATGTACTCGAATGTAAATATGTATGTATGAAAATATTGAAATACGAAACACATTTCATCACTTGGCATAGTACTAAATTAAAGCGGATTGAAAACAAGTAAAGAGGTAAAAGTTCGTCTCAACTATGTACATTTGTACGATAAGCAAATTTTATCGCAATTTTCGTGTTTCTATAAATTACCGTTATATGGCAGGTGGGCGTGGTTATTGCCCGATTTCAAACATTTTCAACAAATTTCTTAGCTAGGCCCTAAGCAAGGTTTGTACCGAGTTTGGTAAGGATTGGTGCAGCTGATACTGAGATACAGCATTTCATCATGAGTGGGCGGGGCCACGCCCATTTTTGTACCCAAATTTTACTTTACATACTAATTTTCAGCAATTTAGAACTAATATTTACTGAAATATCTGGGTTTTAGCATTTTTCGAAAATGCCGTTATATGGGACGTGGGCGTGGTTACAGTCCGATTTCGCACATTTTCAATACCAACCTACCTTGGATAAAGGGTAACATATGTCCCGAATTTCAGTGAAATATCGCAATTTTTGCTGGAGTTATGGTTTAATCGACGGCTCTTTTCATTTTATTTTTTATATATCTATCTCGTTTCCTTTAATCTTTTACAAACAACAACAAGAAATTTTTAAGCATAAAAGGACCATCGACCTCAATTCCCACACAAAAATAGTACCGTCAGCAAACTTTAATATAAACTTAAAGCTTTTTGATTTGATTTCTTAGAAAGATTTCGGGTATGCAGTTTTGTAATTTTAGCATAGTAAAATGCAGGTTTCAAGCAGCTAGGATGTACCGTTGATTTTTGGTACTTTTTTGTAATTTCACAGTGTAGAAAATCCCCTCCCACTGTGAAATATGATTTTTCATTAATTTTAAAAATTGAACTTTTATTATTTAGTAAGAGCAAAAAATTCCTTATTTTTGATTTTTAATAATTTTTTAATGAAGAAATAAAAGGCAAAGTTTTCGTGATAGGTATGCATTATTTACCAAAAATTGCGTGGGACTGCTTTTCCATATATTTTTTAAACATTAGATATTTTAACGAATGAAACGTTTACACTTTTCCGGCGGTTTCCGAAAGTCATCTTTCTCAGTACCGATTACGTTTTTTTCAGAACCGTTGAGGATGATTTCGGAACCGCTCAGTTTATTTTCGGGACTGTTAAAGAGTTTATTGGGATTGTTAAGTAATTTTTTGGGATTGTTAAGGAAGTTTTCGGGATTGTTAAGGAATTTTTCGGAACAGTTATGGTTTTTCAAGACTGTTGTATATGTATTAGGGAGTATAAGAGGATTTTTTAGAGACAGTCAAGGATTTATTTTTTTTTTTTAATTTTTTCGTGATTTATTTTTGCGGTTATTTGGGATTTTTAAGATCTTATTGGTGTTTTAGTGACTTGTTCTGGCTTTTTCATGACTTTTCGACCTTCTTCGTGTTTTGGCACCATGTGGATTTTTTCGAGACATGTTCAACATTTTGAGCCTTTTTTTGCCGGGTTCACGAGCATATTTAAATCTTATTTTTAACTTGTATAAATGCCTTAAAAATAAAATCTTACCGGCTACCATCTGCCCAAAAAATACCAGACATACGTTTTCCCCTAAAATAATCATTGAAAGTCGATGAAATTATTTAAAAAAACACGATATATATTTAAATCATTTACAAAAGAAGCCGAGTAGTTGGGTTCCACATGAATTAATTAGTAAAATATTTAAAGAACCAAGTTTCATGCCAATCGCTACTAAAAATAATGAAATCAAGCCATGTTTTGATATGACTGATTTCAAACGATAAGAATTCATTCATGGATCAAATTAATTTGGGTTGAAGGTTGAAGAAGCTTCACTGACAGTTGTGCTACTGCCAACAGCTACGTAGAAGAGGGACGTAAAATTAATTATGGAACTATTTCTCAATTTCGATATGTTCTAATGTTTTATGGATCTTTCATAAAGTATATTACTTGATACCGCTGTGGCGTAGTGGTTAGCAGTGCGCGCTTCCAGGGTTCAAGCCTGGTTCAACCCAACATAAAAAAAAATATGTCAAAATAAAT